GATCCAGACCCCGGAGGCGTCCGGGCCGCGGTGGGCAATGGCTTTCAGGCTCTCCTCCAGCTCCTTGCGCAGCGGGCTGTTGTCCACCTTCTTCACATGGCCGTTGGTCTTGCTACCCTGCCCGAGGGCGATGGTCGCCGTGATTCCGCACATGGTGTAAATGAACTACAAAAGGGGGGCCCAGAACGAACGGAATGCAGAATGATAAGGAAGCCGATCAACGAAGATGCATGGGGCTTGTCTTCCTCTTGTTTTCCCGCAGCGGCATCTGAACTATTTAAGATGGCATGCTCGATGAGAAGAACATGGCTGAGAAGTTTCGACGTTTCCGACGCCGCTGCTGCCGCCTCCTGCCGCTTCATCCATACTCTTCGTCACCCCAGCAGCCCGGGGCAAAAGAGTCCCAAGCGTACGGAGAAGCATGATCTATTTCGCTAATTTACATTACCTAAAAAGACTACATTGCAGTGTAGATGCAGATGGAGAAACAAAATGGACAGAAACAAAAGAAGGGGAGAAACAGAAAACAGCTGATGATCGGGCCGAGGGGTACATACGGGGAGATCGTTGTCTGAAGATTTCCCCTGCGTGGTTGCGAGATGTGATGCGAGCTGCACCCAAAGAAGAGAACTTGAGACATTGACGATGCGGGGAGGAGGACGACGCAGCTCTTTAAACTCTCACGGTCTACACTACCATGACCACCAACTTTCTCCATGCCGATTTACCCCGGGGAAAGCGGACTTGGCCCGGTCTCACCCAAGAAAAGGGACGGACGGCCTTTCACGCAACACAGACCTTGCAGAAACGTTCCGTCGGGCTTGGGTTGGCTATGCATGATCGGTACAACGCCCCGTGCGTACTTCATTGGCAGAGTCCGTAGAAGAGGTGAATGAGCCACGATGCGGGTGACGAACTTGGCATTTAAGGTACTACTTGAGACTCCGCGGCAGCGAGGGTTAAGGTGAATTGGAACTGAGACTTGGCAAGTTGTGGTGGGATTCCGTGTTAGTCCGCGGTGGTTGGTTGCGTGGTGCCAGTTTGACATTTGAGGAAAAAGAGGGCAAAGCGTCATCACTCCATTCCTCGCCTCGCAGCCTACTTCAAAACGCCAATGTCCGGCGGCGGCTTGGCCTGGTTCAGCCAAGGAAGTGCTCGCGTTGAAGATGACGAGTGTATAAGGGGGCGCAAGCGCCGCAAAACAAAATGCTCGTGTGGATGGCTGGCTTGTCACGATTGGTGCAGGTAAGAAGAGCAAGTTTAACTCAAGACTGCGTGATTGTATTGATGTGTTCTACTTCATCTGCGTAGCGAGAGAAATATCCTCCGAGAGTCCATCTAGTCCAACCACTGTCGCATCGTCATGATGTCTTGCGATGCTTCTGCGTTTCTGCGCCCGGGCTCCATTTATCCGCTGCCGCCCTTGCCACCACCGTTGCCGCCTCCGGTGCAGCCACCGCTGCCAGAGCTGCCGCCGTTGGGGCCCTTGCTGCAAGTAGGAATGTTGTTGGAAATCATGTTTGGCAGAGTGAGTTGGAGTTGTGAGGTGATTGTAGGTGTGAAGTGCTGGAGTGTGATTGATGTTGTTCTGTTGTGTTGTGCTGTCGTGATGATTGGCATTAGGGAGCAGAGAACGGCAGTTTATATAGCTGTCCAGTCTGCGAGTGTTCCAGGTGAATACGTCGTGTTCTGTCGAGGTTAGTGAATTTCATCCCGTCTGGTGATATGGTGGTTCGCGATGGTGATGCGGCATGTCGACTCCACCCGCCGCAGCGTCGTCAAATTCACATAAACCAAGATACGAACCAAAGCCAAAACATAAGAGGGCCGAGAAAATCACCGAGTCGCAACAGGGCACTAGCACTTGTCTTCAGGAATCTATTCGGGATATCTCGACGTGAATTTTGACGTAGTCTATGGTCATCAAAACCGACATGAACTCCATTACCAGTCCCCTTTTTATCCCGTTTAGTCCTCATCCCAGTTCTAAGTGGCAGGTCAGTATGTTGTCCAGCAAGCAGGTCGTCACGAAAACTTACGGGATTGGGGCCAGGAGGCTTAGGGCCACCCGCCTGGCGAGCCACAATAATCTGGTCGACAGACAGAACAGTCCGAGCCGCCTCGGTAGCCAGCTTGATGGCCCACGACTTGGAAACCAGCAAATCGAGGATACCCTCATCACGGGCGTCAAGGGTGCCGCTGCCGTCGTCGTTCTGTGATAGTCAGCATCGCGGTCACACGCGGTCTCAGCGGGCGGTCTTACCTCGATATCGACACCGGTGGCCCAGTCGTCCTTCTTGTGGTGCGCCATGTACAGTCTGCTGAGAACCTCGGTTGCGTCCAGGCCGGCACTCTCTGCAATCGTTCTGGGGACAACCTCGAAAGCCTCGCCGTACTTCCTGATGGCGTACTGAGACAGACCAGGGGTCTTCTCACCGAGGGCGTTCAGTCTCTCGACAAGCTGGATCTCGGTGGCACCCGCACCAGGCACCAGGCGGGGGTCTCTGGTGATGGCCTTGACGACGTTGACACCGTCGTCGACGGCACGCTCGATGTCGTCGAGGTGGTTCTGGGTGGCTCCTCTCAGGACAATGGTTGCTGTTCTTGTGACCTCGTTCTCTTGTCTGAAGACGGTGACACGGTCACCGCCGATCTCAAGGGTCTCGACAACGTCGATTGAGCCCATCTCGTCGGGCATGGGGGCGCCCAGACGGGCAAGGGGGGTGGCACCGACGACTCTGCAGATTCTTCGCAGCTCAAACTTGCTGAGAATCTTGATGAGGAGGATGCCGTATCTGTTGAGGTAGTGCATGGCCAGGTCGCCGACGGTGGAGCCGGCAACGACCACCCTGATGCCGACGTCGTGGAGCTCCTTGATGGAGGCCTCGAGCTGAGACTCCTCGCCCTTGGTGAAGTCCATCATCTCCTTGGCGTTGTGGAGAAGCACGGTGCCCTTGGTCTCGGTCTGGCTGGTGTCGATGGGGCAGGAGAAAACACCGACCTTGGCCTTCTGGGCCTTCTTGATCGATCCATCCGGTTCCTTGGGGAAGACCATACCCTTGACGACACGACTTTGCTCCAAGCTGCCACCCATGATCTTGACTACTCTGATGTTGTCGACGTTGAAGCCGACGGGGTTCTTGGGGAGAACGGCGAGGACGGCCTCGGCGGTGAGGTTGGCCAGGAAGTCCTCGCTGCCGTTCTGCTTGCTGGCAATAACGGTGCGGATGGCCTTGCTCAACTCCTCCTGAGAGCGGATCTCCTCAACCTTGTCGACGGACAGCTCCTCCAGGGTCTCGAGGGCGAACTTTTGGGCGCGCTCGTACCCGGTGACGATATCTGACGTCTTCAGGCCCATGCGCAGCAGGTCCTCAGCCTTCCGCAGAAGCTCGCCGGCAAGAACGATGACCAGGTTCGTGGCATCGCCCATCTCGGCTTCCTGCTGCTGACTGGCCATAACCAGGAGCTTGGCGGCGGGGTGAACGACATCGAGTTCTCTGAGGATTGTGGCGGCGTCTGAGGTGAGGATCATCTTCTGGAGGTGGTTGATGACGATCTTGTTGCGGCCGTAGGGGCCCAGAGAGGTCTGAACGGTCGAGGCGATGGCGCGGCAGGCGTCGATGTTCCGCAGGACGGCTCCATCTTCGGAGTCGTAGCTGTTGCGAGGGTGGTCAGTCGGTGACGGTGGGATGGCGGGGGAGCTTCACTCCAGATAGGAGAGACTCACTTGTTGTACCCCTGCTTGAACAGGCCCGCGTTGGGAGCGTTGGGGATGTTGAGAGACATGATGGACTGACGACCAGGTACGGTTTGGGTATCAGGGTTGTGTCAGTCTCGCCGCTCGTAACAGTGTGGGAGTACCCTGAATGTTGACGATGTGGTTGCGGGAGCTCCTCCAGACTCAAAAAAAAGTCTGGGTGCAGTGCGGGAGCGTGTGCTGCAGCCTTGGTGGGCTGGAGTGGGAGATGACCAATCACGATGCTGCAGGCGTGCTATTGATCCGATCCGGCAACTGGAGTGGCCTAATCTCGGGGGTGTCTTCAGCGACGGAGCGTTTCTTCAGTGTTCTATCACGCAAGAGAGTTTCTCGTGGTTGTGTCTTAAGCAGAGTTTTACAGTCAAATTGTTACACGGGCATTTACAATATTAAGAGAATATCTGGTGTTTTTGGAGCATTTTTCAGTAGATGTAGATACTGATCTGTCGTCAATTCTACCGTCTGGCAGTCTTGGTTCTATGACATTCCCCAGACCTCAGTTCACCTCCTCAGGTGCAGTTGAGCAGCCCCATATTATCCAGCCCAGGCACCTGAAGGTACCTAAGGTAAGGTAAGCAGCGGGTGTTATTTGATCACCCCCGGCAGGTGGCCCACCCCCCTGCTCCCCTCCACTGTTCCTGCTTCGGTGTAAGACAACAGGTGCCAGCCTCGCACTGCCCAGCTGGCACTGGATTGGCGCAATCGGCTGGTTGGTCCTGACGACAATCCCGTCCCGTCGCTCAGATCACGCTGCTCAATAGCGAGCGACCTGAGGTGCCTTACATACTAAGGTAGTCGCAGTCTCGGCTGGCTCAATCTCCCGTCTCTTCCCCCGTCCTTTCAGATTCGCGTCCCATTCAAGCTTCAACTCAATCTACCCTTAGGTTCTCCCGCTTTTTGGCGCACGCAGGTAAAGGAAGCTTCCGTGTACCATCCATTGTACCTTCCGTTATAAAAAAAAACCACAATGGCTCCGCAATCTGGTACGTTGGTCACTTCAATGTCCTCCTGCCCGTCCACATCCGCGCTCCCTTGAATCAAGCAAGCTCGTAAAAGCTCCGCTCGACATCCGCTGCGAACCCCATCCCCATCCCATCCCGTCGCAACTCTTCCCTTGACCCGTCCTTGCCCGCAAAGGAAAAGGAAACAGCCATTGTCCGGATTGATTTTCTGCATCCAACTACAACCCCACGATATTCGCACCATCCCAGCCCTTCCCGCGCGTCCGTCGCCCAACATCACAATGCCTCCGAAAAAGATTATTCGAGCTAATCCACCCGCCGTCGACCTCTCAGCCATTCCGCCTTCCCTCCCACCCTCCGTCGAGGAGGCGTACCGAAGAAAATGCATCCAGCTAAAGCAGCGCACGAACGAGGTTGAGGAGGAGAACGACGCGACCCGCGTGCGCCTCGCCCGTATCAAGCGCCAGGTCGAAAAGATGCGTCTGGAGCGCGCCTTCCTGCTCGAGCAGCTCGCCAAAAGAACCAGCACAAACGTGGAGGATTCAGACGGCAGCCCGAGCCCACCTCCGACAGTAGGCCCTCCGCCAAGCCCACCTCGACGACAAAGCAGACTGCTGACACCATCTCAGCCGCAAGAGAAGCCTCTGCGTACGAAACGCGGACACCGTAAGCCCTCGGTCCTGGCCGAGATCGACGCCGCCGCCAAGAACGACTCGCCGAATCCCCAGAGCCAGAACGCCGCCACCGTCTCCCCGAGCTCCGAGACCTTCTCCCACGCCCACGCTGCCGAGTCCCAGGCCTCCGCTCGTACGAACGGCGTCGCGAAGCCGCCCAAGCGCCCGGGCAACGCGTTCGAGCTCTTCTGCAGCGACAGTCGCCCCGCCTTTGAGGAGAAGAAGAAGGACGATGCTGACCTCAACATCGACGAGGAGCTCGCGCGGGCCTGGAAGGACCTGCCCGAGGCTGAAAAGGAAGAGTTCCAGACCCGTTCCGACCAGGAGATGGCCAAGTACCAGAAGGAGAAGGACGCCTTTGCCGCAAAGAGCAAGAGCGCCGAGCCGAAGGAGGAGCGCGAAAAGACTCCAGATCAGGCCCCTGCAGCTTCACAAGATGAGGACGTGGAAATGACGAACTACGACACGGAGGAGCAGCCAGAGGAGACGCCAGCCGCGGACGACAAGGACGACAAGGCGGACGAATAGAGCCGTCTTGATGAACCGGGTTGCTCAATTATCAGGCGTTCAGGTTTTGGCGTAGAGGGCTCTCGCATTTATTTGTACACTATGCGAAAACATCAATAGCTCCAGACATATGGGGCGGGCGGCTTTCAGTTTCTTCAAGTATGCACCTTCTTTGCACTTTTGACGCCGTGAAGCTCCGTTTCTATGCACTGAACTGAACTCCAGGTGTTCTGTGTGTCCTCTGAATTACGTCTCGTCACTGGATTTTCCCATCCCAACCATGAATGAAACCCTACTCCTAGTGCCTACAGTCCATATTGCTAGTCCGATGCATACAAGTCAACCACAATGTTGATGGCCGCGACGACGATTTCAGCCGCGATGAGTACAATTACTGCGCGATATGTTAGCTATGATTAAATAACGGGCTTTCAGGGTGAACTAACCAATCCATTCTAGCTTCTCGCCATGTCCATGACTGAGCTGGTCCTTTAGCACAGCCAATAAGTCAGCAATGACATCGAGTCGTTCCGTCAGGAGGCCGACACGCTGGTCCATCTCCAAATAGCTACGGACAGCCTGGTACACCGGCTCCAGTTGCGGCTCGACCCAAAACAGCTCCGGCGTGTCGAGCACGGAGCCGTTGAGGTGGATGTTGATGCGGAGGATGAAGAGCTCGCCAATCTGCATGTTGATCTGGGTCCGGCTGAGGGCGATCTTGCCCGTCAACGCGATCTGTGTGGGGATGTCTTTGCAGGTGTCGACGGTTGAAGCTATCAACTCCTCGAAAAGGGATGTCTGCATCGGGTCAGCATCATGACATTAGAGCTAGATCAGATGGCACGTACCTTGACACTTTGCGCCAGCGCGTGGGAGATGGCCAGCTTGGTCATGTAATTCCTCTTATCACGCAGCGTGATGAAGTCGTTGTATATACGAGCCTGGTACTCGCGCGTGTAGTAAAAGTTAAAGTGCTCCGTCTCGACGTCGTCCGCCGCCAGCTTCTCCGTCTCAAACTTTGCAATCTCCTTGAGGAACCGCTGCTCTTGGGCCAGCGTCATGCCCCATATCACAACCACGCCGTAGTCGAAGAGGAACACCTCGGGGGTGTGCACCTGCGTGTCGAAGTCGGGATTCGTCTCCCCGACGATGGCGGTCTCGTTGCCGCCGTCGTACCCATCAGCAAACCCCAAGTCGTGTCGGCCTTCCGAGTGCAGGTCTATGAGGTTGTCTCGGTGGAAGCCGTTGTCCGAGACATCGCCCGTCGAGTGCCGCCTCTCATACGCCTGGACGGGGTCCGGCTGCGCACCCACGCGGCGGTCGTGCCTATTCTCGACCGTCTTGCTGTAGTCGTAGGCCGAGTAGATGCACTCGTCAATCAGCTTCGGGCTGGCGCCCCTCGTCTTGCCACGCCCCTTGAGGAACCGCATCAGGCCCTCCATCTGGTACTTGTTCGCCGTGCAGTAAGCCGTCACCCTGGGCAACCTGTCGCGGTCCGCCTTGCCGAGACGCGCGGCGTCCCTTCGCGCCGTCGGGTCCTTGATGCGCGTGTACTGCGAGTACACGTCCCTGCCGCTCTCCTCATCTGGGCTCTCCTCGCCCAGCTCCGGCGCGGGCAGCAGCTTCAGCTTCTGCGCGTTCTTGGTGCTTCGCTGCGGGCCGATCTTGGGCACCAGCTGGGCCGGCAGGCTGGGGACAGCGCCGTGGCTGTTCCTCCGGCGCAGCTTGCTGTTGATGGCGGAGATGGCGGAGCTCTGGCCGGGGCTCGTGGCGAGGGCGTTGTGGCTCGTCCGCGGCCGCGGGACATCTGGCTCCGGCTCTATCGTCTTCGAGACGGGGTTCGGATTGAATGTGACTGTTCGCGCCGACTTGGGGCGGTTCTCTGTCGTCGGGAGGAGTGGCGTGTTCTCGGTAGCCGAGGCCGAGCCGGCTGGTGATGTTGTTGTCGTCTGATCCATCTCTGCAAGCTTTCTTGTTTTTCTTCCCTCCGGCTTTTTTTTCTTTCGCCTCGTCGCTCAAGGGGTATCACTAAATGAAAGAAAGAAAAAAGAGTCGTGAGACCTGGATGATGAAAGTGGTCGGAAGCCGATCGTGTTATCGCATGTCGCAAAGGGGGTTTATTTTTTGGCGATTGGGTCGTTCGATGGTGTCTGGGGGAGGGAGGTCATTGCTGCGTGTGGAAGCGACAAAGCTGCTGGGTCCGGACGGGTGCTGGATTTGCAGTCACCATGTCTGATGACGTCCTCAGTTTTCACGAATTGGGTGTGCTCCGGAGGCCTTGTCTCTTAGCTGTGGGCTGCTGTATTTTGCGGGGAAAGCTGCATTCGGTGCGCCAATTACCCGACCACTGCCGCCGCTGGGCAGCTTAGGTTCGGTTGTGTCGGAGGCACTCACCCACAGTGGGAACCTGCTGCGTTTCTAATCATCACGACTCGACCTTTTCAAGACGCATGTCATTGTGGCCTTCGTCGTTGAAGGTGCAACTGGATACAGTAGTGCGCTTACCTCGAGTCATATCTGAGCCCTTCCAACAGCTAGCTAGCTGCTGCAGCTGTGTGGATAAGCTACAACAACCCCTGAGCTGTCATCATGCCCCTGGCAAACGACAACCTTGGGTTGCAGCTATCGCTACTTAGAGCAAGTTAGGTGCATAAAAGTGTTTTCTATACATGCGCTATCAGTATCAGAGGATCCAGGAACGCGGATGACAGCGACGATCGCTCCATTTGCTAATACTCTTTATAAGAGCCGCCGGAATAACACACTCTTCCGTCGTCCACCGTGCAACTCCTCTCTCGATCAGAGTTTCAATTGCATGCGACTTCCGGACAACCAACCGAGAGCCGAGTCAGCAGAATCGTTTCCTTCACATCATCATGATTCACAGCGGAAACAAAGTTGAACCTTGCGCATGATTACAATTGACTACATCAAGATACATACTTGAACACAATCCGTCTGTTCATCCGTCGCATACAGGAACAACGATCTTACACTACTGATCCAAGATCTTAGTCTCAAACTTGAAGCCAACATCATGCAAACGATCAATGTACGGCTGTCCCAGGCACGCGGCCGTAAAAACACCTCCAGGCAAGTCAACGTCATCCTCCAGCAGCGTCGACGCAGCCTGTGCCAACAACATGCCCGTCACTATCCAAGTCAGCAACTCGTCTCAAGACACCTTCTGGCGGACAACTCACAATAATACATGCTGCCAGTGTACTTGGCACGGCAGTATGCCTGCGGATTTCCAGTCTTGGACGCCTTGTCGGGCACAGCAATTCCACGGTACTCAATCTCGTCCTTCTTTGCCAGCTCCTTATCAGGTCCTTGGCCTGGCTCGTAGACAAACCGCTTGGCCAACGCCCTGAACGGCGGCATCGTCGCGAGGAGCAGACCAAAGAACCCGAGCGCCCAGTGAATGGCGATGCCGCGAAGGTAGCCTTTCGCTCTCATGTACTCGTGGAACGAAAAGTTGGGCCCGTAAAACTGCTTCTCTCGCGAGGGCAGCGACGCCATGAGGCCCCACGATCTTTGGACGATGGGCGTGTCCGTCATCCCGGCAATCGATGTAGTCATCAGTCCCAGGTTTGGGACGTTACACAATCCCACCAACTTGGTCAGCAGGGACTTCTGCGACTGAACCTTGTTGCGATTGGGCACTGGCGAGAGAGCATATGGCTTGTGCTGCGCTTTCACCTCCGATATAGAGAATGACTCAAACAGGCCAAGTACCGTTGCCAGGGTACCGCCAGACGGAGCCGAACTATCGAAAGATACGGCGTTAGAGCGACGTTTGTCAATGTTTCAGCGCGCGATGATGGGGACTGGACATACTCTAGCTGATGGATAGAGACCGTCACTGCTGCCGTCTTGGCCGAGAGCTTCTCGCGGACCTCCTTCGTGAGCGACCAGGTGACGAGGTCTGGCGGGGCGGATTCGATACCAATCTGGGGAAACATCATCGCGCCCGTCTCCTGGGCTGCACCTTCGTATTTGTTGATCATCGTGCCGGTCCAAGGTGTCTCGCCGGTCACATCCATGTAGTGCGTGCCATTCTCGGCGCATGCCCTAAAGGCAAGCTCGCCATACTGTGCATAGGGACCGACGGTGGTGATGAGAATGTAAGTTTTCTTTACGAGGCGCTCGAGATCCTCGTCGTTGAGGCTGCAGATTTCGATCTCTGGTAATAGTCAGTTATACGAAGCTGCATATGGTGTGCACGAATAGCGGTTCGCCAAGCCTGCATGAAGCCGCATGAAGGATCCAACCCCTCAGAACACCCGTCATCACTCTTCTCCCTCCCTCGCTACGCCGTGTAATCGCCCGTTCCCATTTTCTTTTGGCGTGCACTGGTATTCATTCTGATGAACACCCAAGGGAAAGAAACGTCCAAGCCGCTTGGCTGGAGAACTCCCGGGGAAAATCAGACACCCGTCTGATGTGATAAGAACTCAAAATCCTTCGGCTCACCTGGCTGCACTCTATCGGAATTCAACTTCTTCAACTCTGCAACGAGGCCTCGAAGTTTGGACTCTGATCGGCCTGCCACCGCCCATTTCATATTGGATGGCAGGTGTGTTGTAATGTGCTCCGTGACAAAATTTCCAGTGTATCCTACGGGCTATTGTCAGCGCTTGGCTTCTTGTCAGAAGTACATGTTGCATCATCACTTCACAAACAGTTCATCAACTTGCACGTACCCGTGGCGCCAAAGACGACCAAGTCGTACTGACGGCCATGCTGCTTGATCGGCATCTTGAAATCGCTGGACAAAATCACTTTCGAGCTCGTCGTCGTGCAGTAGAAGAAAAAGCAAGAGGTCGAAAGGAAAAAGCACAGTTACAGAAGCCTCAAGGTGGTCTAAAGTCTCAGACATCTCGAAAAGTCATGCACGGCGGCTGCCATCTTTACATATCCCAGCACGCCACGAAAAGTGGCGCCCCCGCGTCCGCGTCTCCCTTCCGGCCCCTTTCCAAAGCATGAAGGTACGGACGATGATCCCTCACTATTACCGTTTCGTGGTCCATTTGGTGACACATTCCTTCGCCTGCGGCCGTTGGGAACGCAAACTTTCGAAGTAGCAAACGGCGATATGGACTCGTAAAGGCATCTGGCCCGCGCTGCCTCGGCCACCCTAGCGCTTTCTTGACGTCCACCCGGACGCTGTGCTTTCCAAATGCGGCCTAGGAGGGCCGAGCGGAGAGGTGTGACGCCGATCTCCCGGGCTGATTGAAAGCTCCGTTTGAAGAGAGAAACCGGTGCAACCTCGCAGAGAAAGGCACACCGCCGCCCAGCCTCCACTCACAGACGGACAGCTCCAGGGTCCACCAGCCAGCCGGCGACGGTCTGTCACGTGATTAAGCACGTGCGCTCGCTAAGATATTTTTTTTCTCCCGACTGGCAATTGCGATGGAAGCAGATGGCAGCCGAGCGGACCCGCACTTACCTCACTCGAACGGTAGGCTTGCCCTAGGTACGTACTCATTTCGACTTTGGCCCACGAAAAATCTACTTGGGAATTTTCTCGAGCAAGTCGCCCTGAACACCTCCATCGTCGAACTTCAAGTCAACGAACCCGTTCCCCTCACACATCGACAAAATGGCCAAGCGCACGAAGGTTCGTACTGTTCTACAATTAACCCCAGGAGGATTGGCTTCGTCGAGTTCTCGTCATGCTTCGAATCCCCCAACCCCGCCTCGACGACCGTCCGCGATTTGCTCCATTGGCGACAATGGCAGGTGAACCGTTAAGGCATCGTGGGATGCGGGATAAGGTCGACTGGATACATCCGCCTGCGCAACAGCACCACGCCCCGAGTTGAGATCGAGAGAGAAAGAGAGCCGAACGATTCGATCATGCCGCCCGACGTCAAGCTACTAGCCCGAGATGCTTCACCCACAACTTCACCACCAAAATCCCTGCCCCGACTCTGACACGACACAATGGGCCGCCTGCTCAGTGACGACACAGCGAATCTCCATGGACACAATTCCAACCCCCATATGACGCAATCTCCCGGACTCTTCTCTCTTGTTCGCAACTCGGCGGTGGAAAGCAGCGCCGCATCCAGGCACGAACAGATGCATGACGGAGCCGACGAAGCCATGGCCCTCGCTCAACCTCGCCAACCACAGATGGCTAACAACCCTACAGAAGGTCGGAGTTACCGGCAAGTACGGTACCCGTTACGGTGCTTCCCTGCGTAAGCAGGTGAAGAAGATGGAAATTTCCCAGCACGCCAAGTACACCTGTACTTTCTGCGGAAAGCCCACCGTCAAGCGCCACTCCACTGGCATCTGGAACTGCCACGCCTGCAGAAAGACCGTCGCCGGCGGTGCCTACACTGTTGCGTATGTTCAACCACATCCTTGGCTTCTGCCTCGATATGTCGAATAGACATCAGTCGCTAACCAGATACACAGCACCCCCGCCGCCGCTGCCATGCGCTCTACTCTCCGTCGCTTGAGGGAGATCGCTGAGGTTTAAGGATGAGATGACGGAATGGTGGACGGCTTCTGCTTTGCATTTTCGGGCGGTGTATGGGAAAACCGGATATTCATGTCTACCCTGACGACGGCCACAATGGAACGGGTCTTCAGTCAGCTGCCAGAGGGACCACTTGGTCAGCAATGAAAAGAACAACTTGACGTACAACAACGTCCCCTCCCGATCGCTCTGTTTTGGTGTGCAGTCGTTTTAGCTTGCGAGGCAAGTATTTCCGTGAAGTGACGAACAGTGTGATAGGGGTCAGTTGAACATGGAGTGGAGACCGGCCGGCGTGGACAGAATGACCAACCTCATCAGATAGCCGCGTGGTCTGGCGGGCCCACGCTTTGTCGATCGGCGCCATTCGTCATAAGGAGGCGCCTACGAGGCTACGCTACGCTCGCAGCGGCACATCTCAACATTCTGATGTCGGGCCAAGACAGTTCGTGGCGTCCCGCTGGGTGCCTGCATTGGACCGAGGCAGCACGACCCAGTAAGGTACTCACGAGAGGCCACAATGACTCCGTTTTGTATGTACTCACAGCTTCATAGTTGGATTTAGAATGGTCTCGAAGCTGTCATAATTTCATGCAATAGCGGTGCCACGTTCGGTTGGCATTTGAGTCATCCAGGTGCCCTGGACTGGCAAAGCGCGGTCGCCGCTGGCCAGCGCCAGGCGGCCAATGAGACGCCTGACTAACACCGATGGAAAAGAGGACACCACAGGACGGCGGGTTTGCACCATGTAAGTCGGTGAGTTCTGATTGTCACCTCGTCCCTGCTCGTCAACACGGTGTCTGAGAGACATACGAGGGACGCATCATTGCTGGCGAAGATGAGATCTTCGTACCTCAAGATGAGCCGCGCGAGAGCAGCCAAATTTGGGGGCTGTTCCCCTGCGGAATGGCCGCCATGGCTGCCGTGTCCGATCGAGACACACATGGGTATAAAACGGTGCATCCGCTTCAATTTACCTTCCCTTTCGATGATTTCACCCTGGGCCATTTCAATTTGCTAGGCAAGGGAAATAACACGCATTTGTGGCCGGGACCGGGACGGGCGGCCGGCGACGGAATCTCAATCAACTCGACCGCAGTCGACTCCAACCCATCCTATCAACTCTACTCGCTCGGGCACACCAAGGAAGAGACGGACTCTGGCTTGGGTCGCAACCTGACGCAGGCCAGACGACCAGCCAATCTCGTCAACCTCCGAGACGACTCGAGGGGCGTCGAGGTCTCACGTGTGCCTTGCGTACAGCAGCCATATCCGCGTCTACCTCGACTTTAAGGTGTTCACCACCACACACCAGAAGAACAGGGCTTGGGTGGTGGACTTGCCTTACCTTGCCTGCCCGCCCCTCCCAGCTGCCCCCAACTCCCGTGATGACAGTGAAGGGCATCCCATTTTTGGAAGCGGAGATGGCACTTTGAACCGACCTGACCCCATTCCAGCGCCAAATAAGAGTATTCACACCCTGCGCCCCGGCTTTTCCCCTTCAGCCATCTCGTTCCGCCCTCGATTCAACCGTCCTCTTTCTTCTTTCTTTTCTTCCGTTGTTCCACAACCCGTTCCTCATCCTTCAATCACCTGCGCCTCCGTCTCTCCCCTCCCCCTATCGTCCGGCCTGCCGTTGCCGAGTCTGCGTTCCAATCCGGAATACCACCTCCCACCTCCTTGCGTTAAGGCACCGCCTGAGTTGTGGATTACACCTGACTGTGTGCCTGTGTGCCTGTGGGTGTGTTCTGACGTAAACGCCTCGCTCGCACATCCCGATCTCACTCTCAGGTCGCCTCAACGCAGACACTGCAGACGCAGACTCCAACCTAACACACATTATTGTCTATACTTTGCCCACCCTACCTTATTATTACTTCAACCCACGACGTACCTACCTCACGCTCAGCTGGCTTGAGGTACCTGACCCGAACTGACGTCGCACGAGCCAGGCGAACCCATCGAGAGTGTTTGACTCGCCCACTTGCCTTGACACCACTACCACCGCCCTCTCCCCTCCTCTTCCACACCACCCTTGCCCTCCATCCCCGGCCCACGATTCGTCCAGTCTTGGAGGGTCGCCGCGGAAGTAGAGAGGTTGCAAAGGGTCAGTTAAGGAGCTAGGAACCGAGAGGACAAGGCCGGCAAGCGCAACGCGAGGAAGCAAAGGCAACGCAACGCAACACACGCAAGCTTCCCGCAGGCGTGTCGTGTCGTGCTGCGTCGTCTGGGTTTCTACCCGCCAAGTCCCCATCCATAGCAGGCAGGTACGTATCACAACTCTCTTTTTTCACTTGCTGCTGCTGCTGCCGCTTCCTGACTTGCCCGATTCGAGGGGTTGCCGAGGAGCAGGGGCCCCATTCACTCATGACTTGCCTTACCGCGTAGCTTGCCCGCCCTGCGTGTGGTGAAGGTGAGGAGGTAGGTGAATGAGGTGAGTGAGTGCTGCTTGTTTGCTCGATGTTGCTGCTGCTGCCGCTGCTGCTGCTAATACTGCACGATCCATGGATCCTTGGGGGGTTGTGCTTTGCAGCGGCCCTAGTGGGCTAGTCTGGTCCGTCGGGTTGCAGTCCGCCTCAGTCCAGTCAAGTTCAGTCCACCTGGCCCAGTGTCTCCGATGTCCAGCGTCAAGCGTGTGCAAGTCACCATCCAGACAGACAGACAGACAGCCAGCCAGGCACTGAGAGTTGCGGACTGCTGCGGGTGGTGGTGATGGGCTACCTACCTACCCGGGCCGTAGTGTCCACAGTCCAGCAGCAGGTCCCTGTCCAGCCCACTGGGCCACGGTCTGCGGTCTGCGATGGTGTGTGTGGCGTACCGCTGGGCATCAGCCGGCCGTTGATTGGCCGCGGTTGAGACCAGCTGCTGCAGGCATGCGCTAAGCTCGCAAAAAACCGCTTTGGGGCTCCGGGTCCTCAAACTCTCTCTCCTACAAAATTCCAGGTCGCTCGTGGCTTTCAGCGGCAGGGCAGCGGCAGCAGCAGGTACAGCAACGCAACACCACCCAGTGAAGCAGCAGAGTCCACTTCATCTTCATCACTCAGACCCCCCAAGCCGGCAGTGCGCTTCTCATCCACCTCACCTCTTTCGTCCCGTCTACCAGCTGGCAGCAGCAGTTATCTTACCCTCTTGCCAGGCTTGCTTGCCTCCCTCACCACCCTCACGGTTTACCTTACAGTCCTGGTCTTCACCTCACCTCTCACCCACGCCCTCATCCCATTCTCTCCGTCACCTCAAGCCGGAAGTGCGAAATCCCCCTCCCACACTGGCC